AAAAAAAAAAAAAAAAAAAAAAAAAAAAAAAAAAAAAAAAATTATCGGTAACCAGCAGAAAAAAAACAACTTTTGAAAAACATAAAGGCAATTTTATCAATTCTTACCTCATGTTATCTACATTTACACTAGGATTACCGAAATTTTCCTGTACAGCAGAAGATGTAGTTGAAACTCCAAAGCATGATAAAGTTCTTTTCAAATTAAATCTAGATAGCACAAATAACTTACAGGTATGTCAATATTTGACTTCCATGACTCATCACTCGTAATGCCTCCAATACTGCAAAGACCATGATTAAACACTACATAGTGAGAAAAATTTTACTGATTTCCACGAACACATAGATAAGTTAAAGATAAACACTTGCCTCTGTTTCAGAATCATATCAGTTTGTGAATTGGTCAGAAGTTTCATGCCATTGGGCTTTTTTAATGCTTGAGATCTTATCAACAATTTGCTCCATCTTGATATTAAGAACCTTGCCCTGTTTGATATATCTGATCTTCAAGTCAGAAAATGCGACTAAAATTTTACAGGTGAAGAATTGAATTATACAAACAGATTTTCAATGGGGTAAATATAGAAATTATAAAGCTCATGGGTGTTCGAAAATCTCCATATATTTCTAAAGGAATTCCACCATCTCCTATGATAAAAATAAAATAAAGACAAGCCCATGAAGGTGCCAATTGGAGCGTTTAATGTATAAGATCCTTGGCCTCTTAAGAGGATGACTCATCCTCCTCTCGTATTCTTCCATTTTCTTTTTAATGAAATTTGTTCCTCTTCTTCATAAAGGTGTCTCATGTAATTTGGGTGAGGATTCAAATTCAACCAAATAGGAACAGGAACAGAAAGAGTATCTAATTGTAGTTCACCAAATGATACCGCCCAACAAAGAGAAGAGGTGATAGCACAAATGAACACCACACAACAAAATCATACCTGAAGTTCTGTAAAATCGCAAGTTATTAACACTTTGGAGTATCGCTGAAATATGCATAGGAAGAGCCTTATGTAAAGGCAAATGACAAAAAACCTGCAAATAATAATATAAATAAATTCTTTGCAATGCAGGGTTTCTTTATTTAAATACAAAATTCTCTAACATCTCCATGGTCACCGGGTGGAAGCTTTACTACTACCAATCCTAAGAATTCTAGTACTTCATAAAAAATAATGATCGAAGGAAAACCTATTAACCAACCACAATGAATCAAAACATAGAAATATGGACTTCATGGACCTTTTCTTTGGTTTGGTTGGGGGGAGGGGGTTCTAAAAGAACCTCATTCATAAAAAAGAATATAATACGAAAAGGTTGTACAAAAATTTAAATGGAGGCACCGGGAATCAAGAGCCGCCCAAAAGTATTTACAAGTAATAATTCTTGAAATGGGAAAATAAAAAATGTTGAAGAGTTGGACAATGAGATTACTTAGAAATACACGTACAATGTTAAGATCATGTCCAATCCCAAAGTCATTTCTACAAACACCATGCAACAAACGAATAATAAATAAGTTAAATGATGATGACCAACACAAGTGCCAAAAACTTTCATGTGTGCATCAAAGGGCTAGAATGCTGCTGCATGTTAGACAAATTCCTTAGGAATAGAAGACCTAAAGATGAGTTCAATATACCTCAAGGATTACATGAAGGAGACTTGTTTGTTCTTCAGCAGCAGCTTGGCTTAACCAAGTTGCTAAAATAATTGCACCATCTTTAGTCAAGAACCTAACACGGTGCAAAAGGATAGCAGGATAAAGAAAAGAAAATGGATACCCAAAAAAAAAAAAAAAGAGAGAGAGAGAAACAAAGAAAACAAGCAAAAAACAGACTCCCAAAACAAATGAATAATTTGAACAATACCAACATAGCACTGAAGAATTTTGTATCTGCAAGATCCATTCCATCAATTTCACCTGACCAGAAAACGTTTCTTCCTTCTGCATCATACTGAATATAGTTTGAACAAAATGCTTATCAATACCATCTATGTCAGATAGTTTACTATCCTGTGTTGAACACGATGGTCCATTATCGACATTACTGGGTTCAATAGTGTTTAAGGGAACTGGTGTAGCAAAATTTAAAGGAACCGGAGCTTCAGAGTTCAATGGAATTGGTGCATCAGAGTTCAAGGGAACCAATGCATCAGAGTTCAAAGGAACTGCATCAATTGGCATACTGGGATCGTTGTTCGTTGCAATCCCTCCAACTTCAAGTTGTTTGCAAGAATTAGATTGGATGGATCGTTCCCGTGACAAACGGACTAGTTTCCTCACCCTTGAACGTTGACTATTAAAAAAATCACGGACCTAACAACAAGAAAACACAGATTATAAACACCCACAAAGAATTCTATAAACACCTTTAGATATAATAAAGGATGGTTGTAGTTCATTTTTAAGTCTCCCATTGGAGCTCTCACAAATTTCTTATATTTTTGTCACTATAGCTTTTTCTTATCAATGCCAATAGAAGGAACTTCTGGATTTCCATGGCTCCTTTGAGTTGATTTCTTATCACCAGCTATAATTCTCTCCCCTTCTTAATGAAAGTTGAAAAAGAAACCATATAAAACCAATCAAAACAAAACTATGGGATTTTAGTATTGGCTATTTATTGTCAAAACTTGATAAAAAGATAGGATTAAAGAAAATATGAACAATCAAAACAAGATGCATATCAAACCTGTGCAACTTTGACACCAAATAAGGCACTGATTTCTCGTGATTCTTTCTTACTAAGTGCATCTTTAATAGAAAAAACAGTTTGCATATACTTTACAGCCTTGGGGTTGAGAAGGTCTCGGGGTCTTTTTCCTGAAATTGGAAACAGGGCAGACTAAATATGATAACAATATAAAGATAAAATCTTCGGAAAGTGAACAATTATAAAGAGCCAGGAGTTACCAATCGTAATTGACAAAGCACCAGCAGCCTGTGCTTCAACAAAAAAGTAATAATAAATAAAGCATGAATGTCAGTTAGTTATCAAATATAATTATCATGCGCCTAAAAATGACCATGAAACCTAACTTATAGGTTCTAAAGAATCGAAACCATGTTAAAATGCACTGTCAGAAAACTAAAAGATTGAAAAGCCTAGCCAAGGACCAAGGTATATCTTGAGCTAATAAATGACAAACATCTAAGGGGAAAGGAATCCTTACTCACATCAAGCACCAATGAATGACCTCAATATAATTATAATTAGCCAATAAAAGTACGTAAACTCATAATGTCATCCTAAACTAAAAAAGTAGGAAATTAACGAAACCAGGAAGCCACAACAAGAACACGGCAGTGCAAATTAAAAGCTCTGTATCATAGATTATGTGTCCCCCTTGAAAAAAGAACATCATTCAACAAAATATGAGAGATTTTGATATTCAAAACTATAGGAAATTGAACGCAATAAACTAATCACATAGTTGAGCAAACAGAACAATAAAATAGGATACTGAAGTTTTTACAATTACAGAGTAAATAGTAACGGATGTCATGATTTCACAAAAATAAAAAAATAAAAAAAAGATTAAAATTCACGTTTTAATTCAACTTTATGTAATAGTATAAGCTGCATTCAAGTAATCTTAACCAAGTAGGTCATGGGTGCATTCAATATGTTCAGAAAATCAATAAAAGAGAACAACCTAGAGGCCGGTGGTGAAGGGAGCCCTCATTTGATAACAGCAAGTTTAGAAGCTAATAACATACGAAATATAGACATAAACGCCATTACAGGCAACCCAGAAAGAAAGAGAACAATGATAATAAACAATGGATCAACAGAACCTGAACTTGAAATCTAAACTCTTCCCGCCACCACCTAGTATACAAATAGAACAGTACAATAGTGCGTGACCAATTTCAAAGCTAAATTTTGAATATACATAAAAACGTACCATCTCTTGAGAGAGCGGGTTGGCGCCTGTGAGTTTGCACTGCGTAACAACAACTCTCTGGAGTTGATCGACCTGGGAGCGAAATAGATCATTTTGGGAGTCCAAAAACTTCTGAAATGACTCGACCGAAGTCCCAATCTCCAAATTGGAGAAATCATCCTTCACAACCTCCATTGCCGACCAGAAATCTCGAATTTCTGAATCGAAGTAGAAACAAAAATAAGCATTAAAACCTCAAAGCGAAGGATAAACAAGCAGTTGAGGGAATAAATTAGGGCCTGAAACAACGAGGTGAAAAGGAGCAGTTCGTAATAAGCGACTGAGAGAGGAAGAGGATTGCTATATAATTACGATACAAACGGAGCACCAAATTACAGCCCAAAATCCCACACGTGCGAACATATCCCACGTGTCCTAAATATTTTCGCGCGTTTTTGTCTTCATATTTATTTTTTAAAATTATAAATTTAAAAACCTCGCATTTATTATAAGGTTTTATTAAATTATAAAAACAAAAATTTAGCTTTAATTTTAATTTCTAAAATTACAAAACTTTTAATTTCATTTTTTTAAATTATAAATTTATTTTAAACGATGAAATCTGTATTAATTTATTCATAAACTTTCAATATTACAAAATTATTCCTAAATTTACATACTTTTAAAATTTACTATATAAAATTAACCTTTTACAATTTCATAAAACGTAAATTTTAATTTAATTTTTTAAAATTTCACTCACCCAACTATCTAAATTACAAATTTAATTTTAGATCTCTAAACTAAAAAAAAAAAAATTAAATACTCTTAAACTTTCAAAATTTCCTAAGACCGTAAATTTTAATTTTAAAAATTATTTTATAGAATATTTAATTTAATTTAAATTTTCTAAATTTTAGTAAACTAATTAATTAAATTAGAAGTTTAATTTTAAGACTGCAAATTTAAAAAAAAAACGTAATTAATAAACATAAAAATTTTATTTACCATGATCATAATTAACATAAACAAAATTGGGTTATTTTTTTTAATCCCTTGGGGGGGCTGGGAGTGTTACATTTAACCCTCAATGGCTTACTTAGCTCATGTCTTCATTAGAGCAACTAAGTACACACACAATCAGAGAGAAAGGACAGTGAAAGCCTCTGTGCTGCTCTGTACGTATACCCATCTCATCTCCTCCAACACACAACCTGCAACCCACAGTGTCAGAGATTAATCATAGCATTACCACTTTATAAAGTGTTCAATAAAATAAGGTCACTAGAGCTAGTGAACAAGAACGGTGGAGTGTAAGATCCCACATTGATTGAAGAGAAAAACGAAATATTCTTTATAAGGGTTGGAAACCTCTCCCTAACAAATGTATTTTAAAAACCTTGTGAGAAAGCTTGAAAGAGAAAGTCCAAAGAAGATAATATCTGCTAGTGGTGGGGTTAAGCTGTTACGAATCGTATCAGAGCAAGACATTGGGCAGTGTACCAACAAGGATACTGAGACCTGAAGATGGGTGAATTGTGAGATCCCACGACGATTGGAGAGAGGAACAAGTGTCAGCAAGGACGCTAGGCTCAGAAGGTGGGTGGATTGTGAAATCCCATATCAATTAGAGAGGGGAACGAGTGCCAGCGAGGACGCTGGACCCCAAAGAAGGTGGATTGTGAAATCCCACGTCGGTTAGAGAGGAGAACAAAACATTTTTTACAAGGGTGTGGAAACCTCTCCCTAGTAGATGTATTTTAAAAACCTTGAGAGAAAGCTCGAAAGGAAAAGTCCAAAGAAAACAACATCTGCTAGTGGTGGGGTTAGGCTGTTACAAATCGTATCAGAGCCAGACACCAGCCAATGTACCAGCAAGGATATTGAGCCTCGAAGATGGGTAACTTGTGATTCCCACGACAATTGGAGAGAGGAACGAGTGCCTGCGAGGACATTAGACTCCGAAGGTGGGTAGATTGTGAGATCCCATATCAATTGGAAAGAAGAACGAGTGTCAACGAGGACGCTGAACCCCAAAGAGGGTGGATTGTGAGATTCCACATCGGTTAGGGAGGAGAACAAAGCATTCTTTATAAGGGTATGGAAAACCCAAAGAAGACAATATCTACTAGCATGCACGTACGGAGACAGCTATGAGAGACAGCTATGAGACTCCACAGGATCCCTTCTACTAGAGGTGGAACAAGCATGGGCAAAAACTCAAGCAAAACACAGCCTATTACAGAACCAAACTACAAGCCTTCCAGCCAAGAACAATGGATCAACAAACCAAGAAAAGTATGAACAAGTTATACCATCTATTGTGTGGATAAAGCAAGAAGCGTCATAATTGACAAGAAAGAAAGAAATTACCATGATTATTGCACGTTCCAGCTGATCGTGTAGGACGACGATAAGCTCCCATCTTCCCCGTCGTTTTGTTCGTTCTTCTCTAGAAAAGAACATCGAGCCTTCTTTAATCTATACAAACCGAGTTCAATGACTTGTGCAAGGATATACACAGAAACTGCCAATAAATGAAAAGGAAGATATATAGTTATGCACCCAACATAAAAGAAAAAACTTAGAATGTCCACAGCTCGACGACAAACCTGGAGTAAATTAACTCGAACGACCTCGGTGCCGGGAGCTACGTGCATGTACTTGATGTTATTATTACAATTTGTCGTATTATTTATTTATTTATTTATTCCGTCTCATAATATAACAGGAAAAAAAAATAAAAAATATAAACAAAACCTGCAGTTAAGCAGAAAGCAGAATCAGCATTTGAATGTGAAGAGAAAATTAAGTAAGATTGTGTTATATTATGAAAGACATCACCTTTCGTCGCCCCCTTCGGTGGCGTTCGAACACAAATTGTAGAAGGTTTACGACGATCGTCGAATTTTACATGTCTCGTCCTTTGGATTAGCACGACCCAAGTTCGAGAACGACGTGCAACGGTAAGGTGTCACCGATGGGGCAGACAAATTGAAGCCCCTACGAGCTCGAGCATAAGAACTCAAAAGAACCTCCATATACAGAAGCCTCTGTGGCAGATCAAGCAAAATGAATGGCGAAGCAGCAGGACAATGTACAGAGAGATTCACTAAAAGCAGTAATCATCAGGCTATCAACCGGGTTTTCGTGTAATGGAGGGCGGTCTCTTCTCCTTTCCTCATCAATGCTTCTCAAAGCAACATACCGACCAGACAAGTACCGAAGTCCCGAAGTCGAAATTCATTTCTATAATCACTCGGTTTTTTCAACGGTTAATTGCCTCCATCGCAACCCGTACTAGAGTCAGCAGGCTTTCGACATCTTGAAAGTTAAAATCGAGGGCCATTTTGATGCAAGAGATACCCTCCTTATTGGTTGCTGTCCCTCCCGAGCTCGCATTTGCAGCTGCGAAAGCAATTCGTGATTTCCTCGATGCTTCCATGGCAAAATTTACATCCTGTGCCTGTGAAATTGCCATTGTTGAAATCTTAAAAGGTAATATTTTCACTGAAGAAATGAAATTTCTTTTCGGTGACCGAACGGGAAAACTTTAAATACCAACCATCCTTCAAAATATCGACAATGTATATCGGGTGCGATGCAGCTTATCGAACAAAATATTACTCTCTAATATAATCAAAATATCAAGTGTAAAGTCTAGAAAATACGTACATAATTAAGCAACCGTACAAAATTGGGACGGCTTTTAGCAGGAATGACATGGGATCCAGTAGCTCGGCTCGAGCTGACGCCCTTAGAAAGAGTGGCTTTGTCGGTTCCAGCTGGGTTATTTAAGTTATCAACATCAGAGGCAGATGAAGGAGATTCCCCTGATAAAAACGTATCATAAAACGATAAGAAGAGTGTTTTAACTATCTCCTAGAGTATATTTTCGGTTCCGAACGTTCAAAAAACATCAAATCGACATACTTTTAGCGAATACATAAAGAAACGAGGGGTACTCTCAGACAAAAGAGACGAGTTTATCTACATTTTCAATGCATCCTTATTACCAGAGGGACCCATTTGCAGAGCTCGCTGCAAGTCGTGCTGGTCTCGGATTGCACTGTTATGCGAAGAATAAATCACCCTCATGTACGCGACTTCCACGCATTTGTATGCCAAAGTAGCTGCAGCCATGTCCTTCATTTTCTCATATTCATGAGCACAAAACCTGCAGTCATTGAAAAGTTTAGGCTTTGAATGGCATCAAAATTCAAACGAAACTAAACGCATCGTCGACAAACCTACTGTATTTTCAACAAAAATTTGAAGTGGGTTCATGGCCTAATACTTATCTGGGGCTTCCGCTTAACGTTGTTCCAATCATATAGAAAATATGGCTGCAAACGGGGGCTAACCCGAGCGGCAAACATCTTGTTAGATGGGGTAACATCCTCTACCTCATAGACCAAAGAGGCCTTGGCCTTTACTCATTGATGGACAAAAAAAAGCTCGTCTGGCTAAACGGGTTTGGCGATACAACCAAGAAAAGCAAGCTCTTTGAAGAAAACCGAACAAAAGTACGGGTCTTATAAAAAGAAATGTTAGCCAACCCAATCCAATGGTAGTAATTGGGTCCTTTATTCGGGTTGTGTGTTGCGTGTTATCAAGGAAATTAATCATTCGAAGTCGAATCGAACGGAATTTTTTATGAAGAGTAAATAAGTCCAAAAGAGAAGCTAAAAGTAACAACACGAAATCCAGGACTAAGGAATAAATCCAGAAGATATTATTTTGACTTACTCGCATAGTTTTGCAGTGCTACTGTATATTTGCATCGACTGTTTGGCAGTCTCATTGTTGGACGACTCGAGCAAGGAGGCTCCATAAAGAAACTTAAGGGATGCTTGGAAATAAAGCCCGATAGATTCGAGATGGGACCCAGAATTCTGAGGAGAAAATACAAATGAATTAGAATATGAAGATCAGAAAGAGCAAATCGAGAATGTGCGCATTTAAAGACCTTAAAACGATCGGCAAGATGTTTTAAATCTTTAGCTTCTTTCATAGCTTTGGTAGCAGCCTGGTTGGAGTCCCTTCTGGCTGGACTTGGTGCATCGATGGGTACCCGCTCGTCGGGAGTGGAATGCCTTGAACCATTGGTCTGAGCTTCCTTTTGACGATTCTTAACATGCTTTTTCCCGTTTGACACAGCATTGCTTTCGGAAGCATCTACTCGCAAAATATCGGTCACATTTCCTTTTCCACTCCCTGCTGAAGGGGGGCAATGCAGCGTCTGATTTCGAAGCTCTCCCGAGTTTGGTAATGGTGCCGGTGTACTTTTTCCGGAGACTTTTTCAAGTTGATCGTTTTTCTGAAAAAGGGACCTCTTTGAAGCGGTACCATTGCAATCATGCTGCTGATTCTTCCTGGAATTGCTATCCACAGTAGAATCTGGACCTTCATGCTTGACAAAATTTAATTCACTTTCTCTTTTACCGAACTCAAAAGACAGTTTACCCGAACCGTCCTTCCTAGCATCTCCCGATTTTATCCTAGAGTTGTCCTGTAACTTGTGCTTACCATTCTTAACCTTCAAATCATCATGGGAATAAGGAACCCTGTCCTTATCCACGCCAACGTCCAAACCATAGCTCCGACTTTTGTCCTTCGACTGTGAAGATAAATCCTTTCCGCTTTTGTCTGGATATGACTCGCTGCCCCTATATCGCGTTTCATTTGGTCTATCTTCATTCTGAACTTGTTCGGTCCATGGTTTACAAGGATGCTGATGATCAATTCCTGAATTGCCAGGGACATCAGAGGAAGACTTCCCTTTTGCTTTAGCTTTTTTCCCTGAAATATTACTAACATCTTTGTTTACGGTATCGATCAAGGGGGACTTTAAAGGCCTACGATGAGGCACAACAGACTTTTTCTTGCTACCAGCCCCAGAGCGATCACTACCACCGTCCTCTTCTTCCCCATCGGAGCACCTCATATGACCACCATCCAGAAAATCCTTACTTTCCCTTGACGGCAGTGCAATCTTATCTCGGTTAGGTATTCTCATAGGTGATGACGAAACAGATTCTACTGGCGATCCTTTGATATCCTGAAAACTGGATTTCGTTTTATGTGAACCCGATATCTTAGAAGAACTTGAAGTCGCTACTAGAGAAGGTTGTATCGCTCCTAAATCCCTTTTCAAAGAATCGGTGCCATCCAAACTTCGATGAGAAAGAGTGCTCCCTACATCTTGTCCATGAGGCCAATTCTTAGAATAACCTTTTTTCTCTTTTCTACCACTGGATTCTTTACCTGGAGGCTTAGATAGCTTTGCCTTTTTCTCCTTCCTACGGTCGTTATCGCTGAGCTCGGTAACAGGACCTCTATTCTGCAGGAGATGGCCAGAACCATTGAGCGACCCAGTCTTAGTTTGAATATCCGGGGACGCTTTCACTTTTCTCTTCTTTGAATTGCTTTTGGTACTACCATTTCCTCCTCCCATGGAATCATCATCCACGACTCCCAGCAGTTTGTTTTCTCTTTTATCGTTCGGTACTCGTTGGATAACATTTGTATTATATTTCCAGTCCTTAGACGATTGGTCCATATTTTTAGACTTATTAGTTCCACCTGATGCAGAAGGAAAGTCAATGCTCAAGCTTGGACCAGCTTTCACAATAGGCGCACTGTGCCCCGATATCTGCTCTTCATCGGTCAGTTCCAAGCCATCGGTTCTAACTTTCTTTGAAGGTCTAGGATAATCCGGTTCTTTCTCTTTTCTGTTTTTAGTCTTTAAAATCTTGGTAGCACCTGTGCAAATGATTATCCAAAAAGTAAGATTCCGAAGGTCAAGTAAGTAGAGCAAGTAAACGAAGTCAGCGCTAAAAAATAGAAAACCGTGCCTTCATCAGATAAGATATCGACAGATTCCTGCTTCTCTTTATACTTATGCTTGTGCTTCTCAACAGGAACATCACCCGACTTGTTTAAACGAAAATTAGCTTCATCTCCGAAAGGCAACTGGTTCACATCATCTAAACTTTTGCTTTTCATTGCTCCTTCATGCTTCTTTGAGTTTGATAGCTGAGGTGCATCCCCTTTAAGTGTTATACATGGTCTTTCTTTTGATCCGTGTTTCTTTTTTCCACCGCCAGGCGGAGCATTAAAATCATAATGATGGTGATTTTGCCCAGATGGTCGAGCGTTAACCCCTCCCGGCATAACGCCACTAAGATTACTGTAAATATTACCCTCGGGAGCAGCCGGTGCTTGGAACTTGGCTATTAGAGCTTTCGTCGTTTCCTCCTCACTAAACATACATTGGTTCATTCCAGGACTACAGATTCATAAAGGAAAAAAAAAAAAACCATTCAGTAATATTCTTTGAAGATTCTATGTGATAGACAAAAATTGCAGTAGAATCGAACTTACAGCCAATCGAGCATGCTGCAGATCCACTTTTCGGGTAGGCTGAAAGGATTTGTACCTAATGGAAGAAGCCGCCATTTTTGACACCGGTCGCAACAAACCCAGTTGTCTTGTGGAGCTACATTGTCCACTGCAGCAGGAGCTGCATCCTTTATCGTCCCACTGGACGGATTCATGACTACTTCCGGAAACGCTTTTGATACCAAAGGCTTGCCAATTTTCTCAACGAATAATCTCTCCTTCGATGCAGGAATATTATGTGTTGGCTTTTCATCAGAGTGATTTAGTTGATCCTCAAAAGGAATCTCTGATGAATCTAATAGATTATCGTCTTCTTCCAGTTCCCCAAAGAAATCTCGGTATCTATCTTTCGTTTTTCTAGAGCTTTGCAGCTTAGGATCTTCAACTTCCGGTCTGGTTGAAACGTTGTCATCTTTACTAGTACTCTTTGTTTTCGAACCTGAAGAGCCAGACTTCGCACTACGTTTTGATACCTCTCCATTGGGGATACAATCCGTTTGACTAAACTTTGACTTCTTTTTGCCCTCGGGGATTAAATTATCCTTTCCCGAAACATGCTTCGCGTTGCTATGTGCATGAGTAGTAGTTTTATGATTCGAATTCTGCTTGAGAGGATCGATTTGATCACCATTCGAAGCATTCTTTCCTTTTGAGGCAGCCTCGATCGAGTCAATTGTTTTCTCCCTCTTGCTTTCTCCAGATTTTTTTGCAGAAACCGAAATATCGTCAAACTTATTGGATTTTTTTGGCTCCCTAACCTTTCCGGATGAACCATTCGTTTGCTTCTCATCCTCCATAGTAAACGGAGGCTCTACTGCTGGACCCTCTTCCAGTTGATCACAAAGATGTCTGTCCCTTGCCACAACTTTATCTGCCTCCATTAACGTTTCAGATGCCCTGTTCGTACTTTTCGTAGTATCAACTGATATGGCATATGAATTTGCTAGAAGCGGAAGCTTTAACGCATTAGAAACAAGCTCGTCACAAGCTACTGTATCGATTTCTGACATCTTTTTTGACATAATTGAACCATTCAGAAAATCCCTCCTATTTGTGTTCTTTGATTCGGACACGAAGTCATTTATATCTTTCGACATTTTCTTCTCAACTATCATTTGACCACCTTTCAACGAAGGCAACCCTGCTAAGGGAGGGTCTTGATTGTACTGTTGGACACGAGTAGTTTTTTTATCTCTTCCAGGCTTCCCCGTTCGAGTTAGGTGAATAAGATCATCGGGAAGAGGTGATAGCAAGAGACCTCCCTGAACTGGAAACGATGTCATCATCTGCTCCACGAATTAATTGCATTTTGATCACTGAGGCACATTATAGCAGTAAAGAAAAGAAATACAGGAAAATGAGGTGGAGAAACTACGAGCATGTTTTTACACAGATATACCTGAAGAATGCTCGTTGGAGATTCAAACGGGCCATCTTGAAGCTCACGAGAGATCCCTTCACTTTCTGAGGGGCTGTCGTCTAACGACGAAGATGGTGAAACATCTAGGCCAAGACCACTATAGATCGCATCGTTTTTTCTTGTCGACAGGTTATCAGAACCCATTTTAATTCGCACCTTCAGTGATTTTTGATCCGAAGAAGTAGTGGACTTATTGTTCACACATCCATATCCAGAACCACGTTCTTCAACATACGGGAAAGACGGGAATGCTTCTTGTCTGGATGATTCATTCAGATTTGGTGCTTCGATTATGGGTAGTGACGTAGAACTAGTAGAAGGAGGACCAGGTCTAATCGACTGAGGTGTAGTTGAAGAAACAACAGAGTTATTATGGCCAACCTGAATAGGAACACGTCTTCGATGCTCAATAACGCCCCCATCAATCACAAAATCGAAAGAAAGAAAACAAATTTACCTCCTGAAAATTATTGGGAGATCTGGATGTACTGCAATTATGACCTTTCGGTGGAGTCCTTGAAAGAGGAACAACCGGAGACCGTTGATAAGAAGGTAAAAACGAACCATATCCACCAAATTTCGCTCCTATGGTAAGCATACCGGCGTCAAATTATTACTTCAAAGAACACACAACTAAAGCTAGCGTACCACGGGAACAAAAAAACACATCTCTTTCGTGTTTCGACTTACCCAAATTTTCAGCAGAGACTCCACCTTCAAAATCTTTCTGAAAGTGTCCCAAAACATGTTGAAGTTTTGCATCCTGTTCAACAAGTCAAAAGGCTCTCAAACACGTATAACAGAACCTCGGTTCGAAGTGTCGCAGTCAATAAACAGATACTCGATTCAGCAGATGAGTTAAACATCACAAAATGTTATAGTCTAGCCATGCTCGATTCGTCTATTACGCTTAACGGCCACTTCGAGCAAGAGATCGAAAACTCATGGAATCATTTGCTACCACTATGAACAAGCCAGGAAAACCATACTTAAAACACAACTATGAGCTGAAACACATTGACTCCAGAAGCATTGAAAAGGAAGTAAAAGAAATGGAACTTAAAGAGCTGATACAAGAGCCAATAACAAAACCCAGAATTCAAAAACACAAAAATCTGGATCTAAATGAGCAAACAAGGTCAAATCGAGAATCTAGAACTTGCAGTAATGGAAAAAAAAGATGAACAAAAGGCTTACTATGTAGGAGAGAGCAACATCAGGGTCCATATTTGAATCAAAATCTTCATTGTTCTGATATGAACAAGCTTCTCCCTCTTCAAGCTCGGTATCTTCCATGTCTCTCCTGGCACCGCCTACCGCTATTCCCTTCCTCGCATCCCTGCCCCCCACAGAAATCGTTGAGTACCCATTCGAAGAACAAGAACACGAAGAACACGAAGAACAGAATAAGTCCAACCTTGCGCAGCTACCTCAAAACCAAGCCGCCGTTGCCCTCACCAACATCCAAACCCAAATCTTCACCCAACCCATCTCATAAAACCAAAAACCCACAAAAACCCAATAACGGGGTTTCCCTAAAACACTTGCAATCCCACCCGATCAAGGGATTAGAATCAAAACCCACACCTAAATCGAAATTTAGAAGGAAACCCACTCGAAATTCTGGAGAAATAGAAGGAAACAACGAACAAAAAAGGAACTGCTGTTCTTAGAAACAAATCAAAATCACCGATCTCCTGCAGAAGCAGGGTTCGATCTCTGTTGAGTTAACTCAAAATTCATAAATTGTAAATTACGATTCTTTAGCTGGAATTGCCAAGCAAAAACAACAACTCCCTCACCCTTCCTCTCTCTCTCTCTCCCTCCCCCGGTTTTTTGGTGTGAACAGCAGCCGCGTTTTGTATAAATTTCTTCTTTTTTTTATTATTATTATTTTTTTTTTTTTTCTCTCTCGCTCTGTCAAAAAAATTGTAAATTCTTTTTATTAAACTCGTATCTGAGGAAGAAAGCAACCATTTTCGTTGGATTTTTCTCTTCTTTGTTATGGATCATCTGAGTTCATTTGGAATTAAATGTTACAACCATGAGCATCCTTTGATCTACACGTGTTTTTTTTTCCTCTTTTGATTTTAATTTTTTTTTTATGCTTTTATCCATATAGTTGTTAAAAGGATGAGTGGTTTTATAGAATTATCCACCTTTTATCCTTTACCTTGATTCAAATTCAAACTTGAAGTAAATTAATTTTTGTTTAAATACTCAGTTCTCATAAATTTATTGTCTCCCGTGATCTGACGTTTTTATAAATTCGTGAGTTTACTAAACACTTTTAAAGTCTAAAAGTTCATAAATCTATAATTTTATTTGTTAAATTTATAATTTAACTTTTTAAGTTTGAGTCTAAATTATCAATGAACTTCGAAAAGTATTTCGAAAGTTGAAGTGTTTAATAGATATTCGTAAACTTTCAATTTAATGTTTGATAAGTCCTGACTTATTTAATATCATTAATAATAAAAAAAATTAAATTTTTTAAAAGTAAAAAAAATACTATTTGCTGTTAATACTTTATTTAAATATTATTTTAAACTAAAAAAAACTTTAAAACTAGAATCAATCGTTCAAAAATATTTTTTTATTTTTTTTAAAATATTAATAAACTATGAATTTTTTTTTTCAAAAATTTATAAATAAAATAAATTTTAAATTTAATAGACTAATTTATGACAAATTCAAAAGTTTTATAACATAATAAGTATTCTAAATTTTAAATTGTAAATATAAAAAGAAACATGTCGTGCCATGTTGACTGCTTTGTTAGTTTCTTTACATTTTGTTCACATGCCCTAATGCCATGGGTTGACCTATAGATATTATTTTAACCTTAAATTTTAATTTTATTTGCAACAATTAATGTCGGGTCAAAATAAACTTTAAAAATACTCTTAAATTAATTTATAATAAAGAAAAAAATACGCAAAATCACACTATTAAAATGTATAGATTGAACCGTTAAAATGGTGGAATGAAATCATGTAAAAGAAAGGAAAAAAAAAAACGCTCAAATTCGAAAATATAAATGTACCCTGGTGGGAGTGAGGAAGACTAACCTTGTAGATCGACCCGAGTTAGGAGGAGGTTACCTAATATAGAATTGCTGTAAGTAAAGCATGCTTAATAACAACGTTTATACGATAAGGTTACCGAAAATGAAGATACGCTTTATTAGTATAAGTAGTGGCTTTAAACCGCTCTCATTCAGATATTGTCTCAATTCGTTTACGTGCACCTCATTTACTTTGTTAGTCGAACAAACCATATTAAAAAAACCCATGATCATATATTGTCACGACCACGTGGTAATTAAGTGAATTCTCAATAGTCACGTACATGTTAGTAGTATAGTCGAAAGTGGAATGACTTATAGTTGCATAGTGTTTTGCTCGATCTCAGATACCCTTTAACGGCAAAGTTTTTTCAAAAGTTCTGATTTTTTCTAAACGTTTCCGCTAGTTTTACTCACGACAAATAACTTTTTTAGTGGATGACTATCTTTAATCCGTTAACGAATAACACCTTTTTAATAAAACCAAATGTGACTATAAAAGTCGTGTTATCTATGGTTTTGAGGAGTATTACACCAACATTAATTAAAATTTCAAGACATGACATTTAATTGATCTAACGATGGTTAATAATAAATATCAAACATGCCAATTGGACGATAATAATTATTTATATCTGAAAAATTGGTAATATTTGACTTGGGAAAAGTCAGAAATACCCCGACCATATTATGAAGCTATTTTTTGCTGTTTGTTTTTCAACTCTTTCCGTTCTCAAACGACTTCCACGTGTGTTAACCAAATAATAATAATAATAATAAATAAAAAAATAAAAAAACTAACCATAAATCTATAGTGTCCATATAAAAACCACAAACATTTTATTCCAATTTTGCCCTTTCGTAAAAATCATTTTCATAAAGTGAAAATTCATAAGTCCGAACTAAAAGCCGTTAACTTTGAAATTCTTATAATCGAGTCACCGATAAGAATGTATACTTTTCCACTTGAGATTTTATTTAATATTTATATTTTTCTATGTTTCGAGTTTTTAAGAAATGTAACAGTACAATTTTTTTTTATTTTCTAGTTTTGTTCACAAATGTATAAATATTTATATTTTTAGTCGTTCAACACGAACCCAACTCAATTCTAACACCATAACACCAACCGAAATTAAATATATTTAAAAAAAAAAATTTATCAAGATCTTTAATTCCTTTTAAGAAATAAAAAAAATTACAAACACAAAGCTTTTAATTAGACAATAAATTGACTAATATTGATGAAATTTACAAATACATATTTTATTTAATAAGCCAATAATTTGATTGGAAATTTTGAAATGAAAAAAACAAGTTGAAGACTGCAGTTGGTAAGTTTGACAAAAATTTAGAAACTGAAAAATTAATTAATTTTAAATTTTTGTGAGAAAAAAAAAATGGAATGGCAAAATTGTTATTATCTGGAAAATCAGAGCTAAACGACAGGTGTCAGTCTAAACAAGAACTTTCCAGCAGCATATTCCGTGGATGAGGACATTTTTTTAACATGTGACAAATACAGATAAAAGGATATATATATATATATAAATATAAATAAAATTTGTATTATAGTTATTTTTACGGTAATTTTATTATTTAAATATTGGGATAAATATTGAAACCTTTTGATTTGATATTTAAGAATTTTACTTTTTTTTTTTTAATTTTAAATTTTAAATTTTTATAAAAGTTGTTGGTAGAAGTCAAATTTCGTATGGATAAGCAATTAAAAGCAAATAATACATAGATATGATTTTATGTATATCACCATTAAAGTAATTTCAATACTCCAAATTTATCTAAACTTTATATTAATTGATTTATTATATGTATTTCAATTCATGTATATCTTTATAATAAAATTTAAATATGATTTTAAATAATCTTATTTTCCAACTAATTATTACAAATTATAATATTAATATTTAGGGGAAAAAAAAAAAAAAAAAACCCACCAACACCCCTATCACAGCAAGAATCCAACTCATCATTGGCCAATCAAAGGAGATTGAACAAACTAAATTCATACCTTATTTTGAAGCTCCTTCAAATTGATCTCGCAGCTGCTCGTATTTTTTGAGCTCAGCCATTGACAGTGAGGGAGAGAGTTCTTTCAAGACCTGTGAGTATATGAAGGGCATTAAGATCAAATTTTGAGCCATACAAATTGTTTATACAAACCCAAGAAAGAGAAGACGAATAAAAAAAAGATAGATGTTTCAAGTTAAACATGTTTACTACAACAGTCCAAGTCCACCGCTAGCAGATATTGTCATCTTTGGACTTTCTCTTAAGGTTTTTAAAACATGTCTACTAGAGAAAGATTTCCACATCAGAATACTTAGTTCCCCTCTCCAACCGATGTTGGATCTCATAATTCATCCCTCCTTTAGGGCCCAGCGTCCTCGCTGACACTCGTTTCTCTCTAATCGATGTGGGATCTCACAATCCACTTCCCTTCGAGACCCAACGTCCTCCCCTGACACACCGCCTATGTCCATCCCCCTTCGAGGCCCAGCGTCCTACTTGGCACGTCGTCTGGTGTCTGACTCTGAGACCATTTGTAATAGCACAAACTAACTGCTAGTAGATATTGTCCTCTTTAGATTTCTCTTTTGGGCTTCCTCAAGGATTTTAAAACATGTCTCCTAAGGAGAGGTTTCAATGCTCTTATAAAGAATGTTTCGTTCCCCTCTCCAACCGACGTGGGATCTCACATTTACTTAATCTATGTTATGAATTTGTTAGTCCTCTAGGCCATCAAAATCAAAATTACATTAAGAACTATCTTTTATATTCGAGACTAACTCCTACGAATCACGAACCTATAAACCATATGCTGATTATCCAAACTTGGGTTTCAGTAACCTATTCTTTAACAGAATTCAAGTGCATAAAAGTGTCTTAACTTTCTTCCCCATTCCCAATAAAAACTCATCGGGACGATCTTATGCAATTCTTTTTCTTTTCTGCAGATCAGATGAACAAAAGTAGTCTACAGATAAGTGAAGAAACATAACGAAGTACCTCCACAAAATCATCATATTCAACTACAACAGCATCGTCTTGGTCATCCAGAGAAGAACTTGAATCTGAACTTATAACCTTGAGGAAAGCAACAAAAAGTATAATAATAAGCATAACTTCCAAAAGATAAATCAATGGCGAACCAGGCGTGAAGTATAAAGAGTCTTATTTTCTCCACTTACAGCCTCAACAATTTAAGTCTCTAAGCACCACAGACTTATTCTATATAGACAAAAACAACTGTCCTTTTCTACAATGACCCCATTTAAAAAGTAATTTAAAATCGAGTACGGAGCAAGATGCATGCATAAAGCACACGACTGACAAGACTGACCTTGCGCTTTGCAGCATGGAACCAAGCATCTGCACATAAGGCATACATATCCGCACCGGTGAAGTTTGGAGGGCATTTTTTGGCAACAGACAGAAGAGATATGTTCTCGTGCAATTTAAATTTTCGAGTGAGTGCTTTAAGAACTCTGGAAAAAGTAACCAAATTAAATATTGGATGGAGACCGGGTTTACTCGTATGCATGAATGCAAACTAACCGTTCCCTGTAAGACGCTTCAGAGTTCACTCCAACATATAGCAACTTATCGAATCGACCAGGACGCAGAAGTGCAGCGTCAATCAGATCTGGCCTATTACTTGCTCCAATGATAAAGAGGTCCTAACAAAGCTCAATGATACAAATCCGAGTAAACATTCTTTTGATATACAATTTTCATTAAGAGAACTGAA